ATATGGAAAAACACCATCTGAAATAATCATTGCTCAACACTGTCCGAATATACAGCCAAGATATTGCAATGGAGTTTGGACTGGACAAATGTGCCACCCTGACCGTCAACGGGGAAAAAATAGTGAAAACTGAAGGAATCAAGATGCCCTATGGAAATAACATCAAGAGTCTGGATGAAGAAGATCACTACAAATACCTGGGCATCTTTCAGGCTGACAACATCAAGAACATTGAAGTCAAGAAGAAGATTAGGACATCATGAGAGTGAAGAAAATCTTAAAGTCCAAACTCAGTGGAGGAAATACCACCAAGGCCATTAACACCTGGGCAATTCCAGTCCTTAGATATACAGCTGGAATAGTGGACTGGACTCAAGCAGAACTAGAAGCCCTGGATAGGAAGACCAGAAAAATAATGACAATGAATCATGCCCTTCATCCACGCATCAATGTTGACAGACTCCACTTAACAAGGAGCATAGGTGGGCGTGGAATGTTGCAAGTACACCAGACAAATGGAGAAGAAAAAAGAGCATTGGGAGAATATCTGAAGGATAGTGAAGAAAATGCACTGAAGCAAGTACACCATGAAGGCTTACTGAATACTGAAGAGACCAAACTGGCCTGTAAGAAAGACCAAATGAAGAATAGAAAAGAGACATGGCATGGCAAAGTATTACATGGCCAGTACACAAAAAAAAAAAAAAACTAGCAGGCAAAGCAGACAACAACATGACCTGGCAATGGCTAAGAGCAGGAAGATTGAAGAAAGAGACAGAGGGGCTAATTATGGCTGCACAAGACCAAGCCTTAAGAACAAATGCATACGAAGCTAGAATTGAGAAGACAGCAACAGACAGCAAATGCCGCCTCTGCAAAGAAGCTGAAGAAACATGGACCACCTAGTTAGCTGCTGCAAGAATATTACACAGACTGACTACAAACAATGGCATGACAAAGTAGCAACAACAGTGCACTGGAATATCTGCAAAAAATACCATTTGCCTGCAAGCAAGAACTGGTGGGACCACAAAACAGACCAAGTAATAGAAAGTGAAGAAGCTAAAGTACTCTGGGACTTTAAAATTCAAACAGACAAACACCTGCCACACAACACCCCAGACTTGACAATTGTTGATAAGAAAGGCAAAAGACTCTGGATAGTGGACATTGCAATACATTGCAAGACAGCAGAATAGAAGAGAAAGAACTGGAGAAAAATCACAAAATACAAAGACCTGCAAATAGAAGTAGGACAAGTGTGTCAAAAGAAAGCAAAGATAGTACCAATAGTAATAGTGCGTTAGGTGCAATCCCAAAATATCTGGAGCACCACTTCAAGATCATCGGCATTGAGAAAGTCACCATCAGTCAATTGCAAAAGGCAGCTTTACTTGGACCAGCTTATATCCTGTGAAGATACCTTTAACACCATCAAACAACAACATCTATCTATCCTAGGTCTTTGGAAAGGACTTGATAGGTGGACTAAAATGCCAAACTGACTGTGCGACTGAAACCTTATGAAAAAGGGCTCTCAGTTTTTCTCACCTTTATTTTCT